ATAAGAGGACTTTTGTTGCAAGTGCGTCACAGATAAAGTTAGTCAAATATCAACCAAAAAAGCATCATGCATCGTTCCTATGTAACACAAACCTGACACACTGTGTTATCAGTTATATATGCAACATTTTTTTTCAAAGCAGCAGAAGTACTCAAAATGGTAACAATAATTGCATTGCTCGTTATTAGCTTGATATCAGCCCTGTCGTCAAAAACATTTTACTGTGATTTTGAAAAGCCGTGTGAAGATTTCGTATTTGATTCTCATTGGACCGTTGAGAAGGTATCATCACACATTGATCATACATATCAAAATCTTTCTGGTCATTACATAACTTATACAAACACTTCAGTATCACAACCTTTAACTATTGTTCGCACACAATCAATAGAATTAGGACCTAACGAAACAGTATGTATCACGCCTTGGATGTGGTCCATAAAAAATGGTGAAGTAAATTTCCATATAAATTATGCTCAAGGTGATGATCTACAATCTCAAACTCCAGGGTATCAAATTGGATTCCCTTTATCTGACTCAAATTGGACTGGCGGGAATATAGGAATACCATATACTCTTTCCGATCATTTTTATCTTTTATTTAAATTTATCAGTATTACGAGTCCATTAGATATCGATGATTTGTCGGTTTCAATATGCACTAGTTCACAATCTAGACCACCAACAACAACAGTTTTCGATTGTGATTTTGATAAAACTTTATGTCCTGAGTTTGAGTCACTTTCCAACTATTCTTATACTTGGTCGACCATCGAAGCAGAAGAAGCACAAAATTACACTGCAACAGCTCCATCGATTGACTATTCAATTGGAAATAAAACAGGTATCTTAAAATAACTTCACCCTTTGAATAGTTCTAATCTTTTGTTTCACTATTCACTATTCTTGTAGGTCATTATATCTGGCTCAATAATTCAGATTCGTTGCAATCTGGTGGTGTTGGATATTTAAAGACACCTATCTTTCGTTTTACACAATCTGATCCTGAATTCTGTCTAAACTTCCAGTATTATGCATTTGAAGCTACTGTTCAACTAAGTAAACTTTCAGTACTAGCTTTAAGTGAAGGAAATGAAATGTCTGTTCAACAAGATTGGCCTATTAATCCGATTAATTATATATATGCCACTAATCGATGGTAAACTATAATGTTCAAAATAAAATAATTTTGATATTCTTTCGAATAGGTCTTGGGGATTTGCTCCATTACCCTTGGGAAACTTCTCTCTCCTATTTCGTATGGACTCACAGTATGAGGTAGGTGGTTCATTTGCGATTGATTCAATCTCGATTAGTTCTTGTGATTATACTCCAAGCTGGTTTTCTCCTACTTCACGCCTTAAATTCACTTGTGACTTTGATTCTTCGTCAGATTCTTCATGTGGCATACAAAATGATTACACAGATTTTTCTCCACAATCTCTTATCAATACTACCATACAATCACCAAATACGATTAGTGATCGAGAACTTGGTCCAAGACAAGCAAGTGGTTGGAGTGGTAATCAATTTCTTTATTGGTCACGTTCTAAAAATACATCAACAAATTTAACTACCGGATACTTTAAAACACCTTTAATCGAAACAAATAGAGATATGTGTATTCGATTTTCTTATTTTGTTAATTCGATTGGTGTTCAACCAAATGAAAAAAATACCAAAATAGATATTGCAGCTAATGGTTGTACGGTTTCAACTGTTTGGTCTAATGAATTAGATGACAGTTTTGGATGGCAATTAGTTGAACAACGTTTACCT